CTCGGAGCAATGGAAATGAATCTAATTCGCACATGGTGCCTGTAAGTCCTTGCCCTCCTGATATGATATGAAAATAATCTTTGGATTTTGTTGTAACTAACCCACGCCGTGATTCGTAGAATGCAAGTGCACAATGTAAAACAAATGCCAAGTATGAAAGCCGGGTATATAGACCCTCAAGCTATAACATAAACAAATTTTAATTACCCTAGACAGTGGAAACTAGATGCCAAAGAGCTAGCTGCTTTGGAAAGACCCTTCGGGAGAAAGAGGACATCCGTGCAAAGAAACTAAGGCAAGAGTCCCTTAAGATTTTGACATACATTGCCCTAGCTTTTAAAAATCTCCAATAACACTCTACTATATGGCTACCAAACAACTTCGAGTAAGTTCAACTCTATACTTAAAGCTTTGTTTAATATATTTTATTCGATGCAAAAGAGCTTATCTAGTTCTATGATTAAATTTATGCAGCAACCACTGGATTTGTATTGGCATCGATGTCGGGAGGAGCATGGCATGGGTCTTTGATTCAATAGATAGGGACCCGGTGACATACAAAGACTTCATATCGATTCTCAAGACGTATACATATCGACAATCCTCATTAGCTTATATGTTTGTATACATACTTGTAACGTTCACTTTTGGATACTAACAAGTTGCATTTGCTAAAATAATTCGAACAGGGCATTCAGGTTCTATGTCAATGAACATCACGGAAGGCATGATCCAGGACGGAAGGAAAGGCTGGCTATAAAAACACTATGTGCGGTAAGTGTAACTTACTTTAGTACTCTATTACATGGTTGTCAAAAGCATTACTTAATATTTCCATATGCAAAACACACAGTGCCCCAAGCAGAAGCCTAGGAGTGTACATTGTGGATACTATGTATGTTCTATGATGAGTAACACCGGTGCCTACAGGAGACACCCCTTAAGGGTAAGTTTGAACCTCTTCACCCGTAGTATAAAAACTTCGCACATGATATGAAATACTAAACCAAAACTTGTTCTCTTGTAGTGGAATGAAGAGAAAGAAATGAAAAGAGACCCATACAAGGATGACCAACTCTTAGAGCTCATCGGCGACCTTTGCAACTTCATATTGGACCAGATTGTACACGTCAAAGGCACCTACCATGACCGAGATTCTGACTTAGGTAGAAATTCTCAGTACCAACACCTTCGTGAGACTAAAAGGCTAGCTCTAGGCCGTTGATAACAATATGTATGGAATTTGACATTGGTCTTACCTTGTGGGACGGTTTGGACTTATAAAACGAATTAGACTTGTGAATTATGTCTATTTAATGATGGATTGTATATATTCTTATGAATTGGACTTATAATGGTAGTTTATATAATGCTCTTGTGCTTGTGGTCAGATTTGAATTATATATGTTCTGGTCAGATTTGAATTATATATGTATATATATATATATGTTCTGATCGATTTTGAATTGTAAATTTGAATTTTTTTGACGGAAAAATATACTGTAGGGGCGGTTCTAGACTGATCTGCCTCTACAAACAGGTATTATAGGGGCGACTGGTACTACAGCCGCTTCTACAGCTCGATTTGTAGGGGCGGCTGATAACACCAGCCGTCTCTACAAATTAATTTATAAGGGCGGTCTAGGAACCACCCCTACAAATACATGATTTGTAGAAACAGTATGGTAGGGGCGGCTAGCCGAACCGCCTCTACAAAGCCTCACCAGCCGCCCCTACTAATCCTATCTATGGTAGTGCATGTCCCCGCCCCTTGGTGCTGCTGGCTAGCTGCCATGCATGTCCGCAGCTTGTCGCTGGCCTTGGCCTCAAGGCCGCCGGATGACATTCCCCGTGGCCCCGCACAGGCGTGCTACGACACTGGAACAATCCACGTGGGTGCGGCTTGCATCGCTGGCATGCTATCGCCCTTAGGAACGGATGCTCGTGGTCGTAGGTCGCAGCCTCATGCGACCGTCGACCATGTCAGCCTTGCCTTTGCCCCATGTGGCCATCGGTCCGTCACCCACCGTAGCCTCATGCTAACATGCCGACGCACCATCATGGCCTCGCTGGAGTTCGTAGCCCAGCAGCCACCCAGGCGCCCACCTCTATGGATAGGGTTTGCCTATTTGGGGAAAACAGGAGAACAGAGATTTAGGGGAGACAAATAGGTGAGAGAATCGAAGCTAGCCATAGGAGATGCATATGCAAGTGGAGAATGCAAGGAGAGGAAGTTACATAACTGGTGGTGGTGCTGCTGCTGCTGATGTCGTTGGAGCACGACGTTCATGCCCCTGCCGCCCTGCTTCCCACCCCTAGCTCTGCCGCCATCTCCTCCCCCTATCGACGGGAGCAGCACCGCCAGGCCTAGGAACACCAGCGTGGTGTGAATCGAGGGCGGGGAGAGAAAGACGCGGCGATGGTGCGGGATGAGGCCGTTGCGAAGCGTGCTGCCCGGCGTCAGTGGCCTCATCAGTGGCATCCAACGACAATGGCAGCGCGGCCCTGGCGACGGTGTGTAGGGGATGGGTGCACCGTGTGGGGATGGGACGAGGCAGGCGTTGGCGTTAATGTGGGAGGTGTGGGATCGTGGGGAGGCCTGGGAGCGAATGACTGGATCGCAGGCAATAGAGAGCGGTCCGGTTTTTCTTCTGATTGGAGGTCACGTGGGAGAAAACATTTTTTTCTAAGCGATGGGATTAGGGGAGGCAGGCCGATTAGTTTTGCGAAGACGATAACATTTGGTTTTTTAGTAGTAGAGAAATGTTTCGTAACTAGTACCAACCATCTTTGTGGTGTAACGGTGGTGAATGATTTTTTTAATCCAATAATAGGTCTTGCGTTCAATTCAATTTTAGCGTGGCTAACGCCCGAACATCCGGACGCTAGCACCTATCCAGACGCCCGTGCCTGCCCCGCATGCTGCCGCTATGCATGCTCGCCTGCTGCTCGCATGCTGTTGCGCGCCTACGCCTACTACTCCCATGATGTTGCGCACCCACGCCTGCTGTTGCGCATGCACATGGGGACCGCCTTCGCCTGCTTGCTCCCCTCGCCTGCTAATGGAAACACTTGCAACATGAAGCATTTGTTGCAAAATACGTCTCAAAATAAGGGAAACATAAGCTGGGAACGTATACGTATAGTCACTACAACAACATCCAGATAAAACACTTGCAACATATTTGTCTGAAAATAGCTGAAACATTTGGAATATATACCGCAACAAAACGTGTATATAGTCACTGTTACATATGCAACATCTAGATAAAATACTTGCTACTTGCAACATGAAAACTCTTGCTGCAACATAAGACTGAAACAGATGAAGTATTTGGAATATACTCTTGCAACATATGTGTGAAACATCAACATCCAGATCAAAATACTTGCAACATACGTCTGAAACAGAAGAAACATTTTGAACAAACTCTTGCAACATTCGTCTAAAATAATTGCAATATATGCAATATGTGCAACATCTCAATCTACTTTTACAACATCCATATGAAGCATTTGCAACGTACCTATATATAGAACATCTGAAATACTTGAAAACACAGGTTTGCAACAAGTGCTTTCAGCGCAGCGCAACATCTCCTTACTGCTTGCGAGAATGAAGACTCGTCGACGTGTGGAGTTCACGGGAGGCAGCGGCCCGGCGGCTGCACGGCGCGGCAAGGAGGTAGTGCCCGCACGACTGGAGAGAGGAAGCCAGATCCACCGGGGAGCCACTCATGCTGTGCCTACCACGCTGGTGTGTCCAATGGTGCCGTCATCGCCATTGCGCCGCCGTGTCGAGGGCCGCTCGGGCCTCCGTGTCGTGGCCTGCTCGTGCTGAGGCCACGCCGAGGCCGCTGCACCGTCGTGCCGGGACGCTCGCCCGCACCGCACCGAGAGAGGGAGGGAGGGAATAGCGCTGGAGGCACACGAGCGAGAGAGAAAGCGGAGGCAGGGAGGCACGAGGAGAGGAGCGGTGGCTGATATTTTCCAAGGCATGTACGGACCGGTGAACGACACACATGTGGATCGTATAGGCGCTGGCGGGTCAGGATCTGTTCGAACGACGTCCTCGTCCTCTCATTATCGATTCAATTTCTTCCCACAAATTATTTTTACTTCTATTATTTTCTAATAAAATAATATTTCTTCTACTATTTTTCCTAAAAAAAAATCTCCTCACGAACGGGAAGACCCAGCGAGGGGAGCGGAGTTCGCTGCGCTCGAGATGGCCCATGCGCGAGCCCACGGAGCATCCAGCGTGACCTGGCCTATGCGCAAGCTGCGGAGCGGGCCGGCCCATGCGCGAGCTGCCGAAAATTTCGGTGATCGGCGACCTGTATAGTAGAGCTCCCTAAATTGTTGCTCAAAAAAAAATAATATATAGGGCTCCCTAATCGCCCCCGTCGTCCCCGCGAGCCGCGACTGCAGCAACCTTCGTGCCCCGCCGACCGTCGGACCATTCTCCATTCCCCTGCGCCTGACCATTCCCCTCGTGCTCTGCAGGTACGTCATCCATCCAGGACCAGATTGATTGATTTCGTCTGAGCTGCTCTTGGTAAATCCAATCCCTAACTTTGTTGGTTGGGTGGATCCGTGGATGGATGGATTGCTCGCCTTATCCTGCACAACCAATCGTCTTCCGTGTTTTTTTTTTCGCGAGCCCTAGAATCCGAATGCTCCTCCTCGCTCCAATCCGTCCACATTGTGTGCCGGATTCGCTAGCTGCGTGGTTGGATTACTAATAGCCTTTCGTTTACCAATTTTGTTTTGGGCCCAACTAAACCCTATTCTTTTCCCATCATCTGTGTATCCTGTATGGAAAAGGGTCCCATCTTTGAAATGTGGTTTTTCAGTTCCTATGTCGCTGGGAAAGATGGGCGTGCTGGACAGACATAAATTTAGGACCCCTTTTAACTCTTAATTTAAAATTTAGGAACCAAAGTCGGTCTGACTTAATTTTTTGTGATGAAACCACAGGAGTGAGGGCTTGATCAGAGATGAATGCGCCAGATCGCTACGAGCGCTTTGTCGTGCCTGAGGGCACCAAGAAGTAAGTTTTCCCAATCCCCCCACACTTTGCCACATGAAATCGGTTCAGTATCGATGATCTTTGTTGGCCAGCCTGTTTTGGTGTGCCTGGTTTCTTGTTTCTCTACAAAATAGTAATACCAATGTTAAGCAATGCCACAAGGCAAGTTCCTGTTCTTGAATTATAATATGATGAAGTGAAGCTTTCAGCATCAACTTGTAGAACTGTGATGCTTAACCTGTTCTTGAATCATAGATTTTGGTTTTGGTGCTGATAATTACCTTTCAGAGTGTCGTATGAGAGGGACACAAAGATCGTGAATGCCGCATCTTTCACTATCGAGCGTGAGGACCACACCATCGGCAACATCGTCCGCATGTGAGCATAGTTCTCTTGGTGACCTTATTGTTATCTTCTTTTCTGTTTTATAAATGTATGATGCCCATATGGTTGTCAAATTCACAGGCAACTGCACAGAGACCCAAATGTGCTCTTTGCTGGCTATAAGCTCCCTCATCCACTTCAGTACAAGATCATCGTGAGGGTAGGGTACATATTGTGCTGTTTCTTCTGTTTCGCTTCACCAGCTTATTCATCTACTGTGTATTTTTTTCTTGTCTGGACAGATCCATACTACCAGCCAGTCCTCCCCAACACAGGCCTACACCCAGGCAATCAATGATCTGGACAAGGAGCTTGAGTACCTCAAGCAAGCTTTTGAGGTCTATTTCTGAAATATCCACCCAAATTCCTAGTTATTTTTTCCTGTAACGCACCCTTCTGCTATGGAGTAGCAAGGGGAAAATGAAAAGCAACAGTTTAAGATTCTACTGTATAAAATAAGGAGCCTTCTGCTTCTGTTGATATTACATTTCGTGGAAAGTTCTTGATATGATGATCATTGGCTTTTAGGTGTGGTGATTGTTTGACCCAGCAAATTTAGAAAACAACGTTACAATCTTTTATTCTCTTTGAAGCAGCCATGCCATGGGATATAGCCATATAGGATGTCCTGATTGTTTACATGCTATGAATATTCAGCGTTATAAAATCTTTACTAGGTATTCTAAATGAAGAATTTTGGCTATACAATACCTTGAATTGTGACTGCATACTCCAACCATTGCTGTCCTTTTGGAAATACTGCTACTGAGTATCATGGAGCACCCCTTTTTTGGTTTTAGGATATATATAAAAAATGCCAAGCATGAACTAGGGATCGTCCATAGATACACCAAGCCGCCAAGTGCCTGACTTCCATAGAATTTGCATACTCATTCTACCTTCAAGCTATTGTTATACCTTTAAGTTCATTATGATTTTTTTCCCTTTCCAAAGGAGTCTCATTACCTTTGCTTTTTCCTGCTAACCATGTACAACTCGTTAAGTACTTAAGTTAATCTTCAGAACACTAGGAAATTCGTCATCCTGTGGTTTTTAGTATGAGCTCTGTGTTTTTTTTTCTTTCTGGGTTACATAGCATGACTTCAGCAATGCTATTTTGCTTTGTATGAAAAAGTTTTATTTTGCACTGAATCATGATGCCGAGTATGGGTATGGCAGAGTAGGAAGTGCATTTAAGAATAATTTGTGTTAAGAATATGCTATAACTTTAATACTGATTTTCATGTTGAAGTATTTGGAAAGACAATTTGAATTATTTATGTTATTTTTTGACAAATGTTTTTAGGTGACTTTTCAAAATTTTGATGTCTCAAATAGAACAACAAAGCCTTGGACATGCATTTTGGGACTGTAGATTATAGTGTGATATGTCAATTATTTGTTGTTCTGTTCTTGATGGGTCTCTGATGGAGTTTGTGTTTTTTTACTTTATATATACTTTCTTAAACAAAGCACTTGAGCAACAACCATTGAAAATCTGAATGGGTGGCAGAGACTTCTAATGTGGCATTACTCTTCAGAACATTAACAAAGCGATGGTGTTCCTGTTAGGCACACTCCTAAGCAGTTACTTCCTCCATTCTCTTTTATTAGGTGTTCACACGTTTTTGAAAAACACGATTTCGTTTTTGAAAAAAACAATTTGTAAGGCGCTGTAAGGTACCGAAGCATACGTATTAACTTGTGTTTCACGGCACTCGAAGCGACAGAAGCATGCTTTTGCACTCCATATATATAATAAGTTGATGGTTGCTGATTATCCGGCATCTTTTGCATTATGTTTTAATTGCCTACTTTTGTACAATAGTGAAACACTGTTAGTAGAATTGTGCTCCTTTTTCTTTTTGGTAATTTGAGTTTATATGATGTCTTGAAGTTTTTTCTTCTCCTTTCGACATCGTCAGCTACATTCTCCAATTCCTGTCTAGGAACTTCTGTCCATTATACGATGATCTGAGACAGACTGTACCTGAAAAAAATGCTTTGGTTGATATAAATTTGATGTAGCTTGGCCATTTTGAAGTATTTGGGAAGAACAATATGAAGCATTCATGTTAATTCTGAATAATCTTATTTTTCCTAGTTCCTGAACATAGATGTCTGAAGGAGCACCATTGTCCTGGGAGCAGTTGGCGTTGAAACATTTGACAACCACATATTTACATTAAAATAGTTAAGACGAGAAAGCTATAGAGTCGCAAGTCAATTATTTTCCATGCTGTTTTTTATGCATCTTCTGCTAAGTTTGTAATGCTAAGGAAACACCATATGCGTTCTAAAAGAAAGCATCTGATCTGGGCCACAACCGAGGAGATCTGAACCGGTAGCTGAAGCTTTTGATTGGCATGCATGACCACTAGTGGAATTTTTGTATATAAATCATAAATAACAGAATTCAGATGTACAGATCCCCTTTTCCTGCATCTGTATACAGTTACTATTTGTTTAGGGAAGCTTTGTAATATTTTTTTTTCTAGTGCTGAGCATTATAGTCTGTTTGGAACCTGATGGTCCCTATGTGCTGCTGACATTCAGGCCTTTTTTTTTCAGGATGAGAAGAACAGGTTTGAGATGGCGAGACCTTAGCTGCCCTACAAAGAAGGCTCGAAGATTATGTAGATGATGACCTCAGACTGTTGTTCCCCGAACTACCAGTACCTTTGACCTTGGTTGGTGTAATCCTTGAACATGTGCCAAAGACTCCAAACACTCTTGCTGTGTTAACTATGTCGCTGTGGCGCTCATGGGACCTTCGTTTTATTGCTGTGTTATCATGTGTTTGCATTACTCCATTTGTGCCGCCCATCAGATCAGGCTCATTTGTGCCGGGGTGGCATAGCCGCATAGGCGCTCCAAGAGGCAACAGGCACACACACCCTTAGGAAAAAAAAAATCCATTCTACCTCGTTCCACTATCGCCACAAAGCCATGGGAAAAAAAATCATGCTACCTCATTGAACTATCGCCATAACCTTGAGAAAAGCCAACGAATGAATTTGGCCTGGCCTGGTTTTTTCAAAAAAAAAAAAGGCCTGGCTGGTCTTATGCAGTTTACGGGTGTTTGGTCACGTGGTTGTATGCAAAACGAACGGTGCGGCCTGGCCCCCAGCAAACGAAATCAAGTTTCATGTGAACGAGTACAACCAAACATCTTTCCTTTGTGGCCTGGCTGCACGTGAACGGCGAACCAAACTAGCAGACATTGCAGCTGAAAAGCTTGGCCAGTGGCAGCCTGTGGTTGCTGGTGCGAGCCAGGCCACGTCGAGATAGAAGAAACCAATCGCGCCCTGATCGTCCAGCGGAAGCACGTACCATCACCAAGCGAGAGCGAGACAAAACTACCTCTGTCAAGTCACACTTATGACACTAGCTAGTGACCACCGCACAGTTAAATTTGCCACGGTTACTGGTGTTAGCACTTCCATGAATGAGCTGCTGTTCCTATTTGAATGTGTTCATGTTTGTGTATCTGCCTATTTTTGCACAAGGTACAATATTTCTTAATTTTACAATTTTTTATTATATTCTAAATTGCATTTTAACCGTATAGTGAATTCTCTCCGTTAATCGTGACTTGATTGATGATGGATTAAATGCTAAATATATATATCCATGTGGAGGGGGGTGAATCTAATACAATGATAGTTGGGGTGGAGTGGTATCGAGCCCCTCGTTGAGCTCCTGCTCCATTTTTATTTATGCATAGAAGAGAGCGAGAGAAGTAGAAGCCGGACGTTGAAGTTCAAGCGCCACCTTCAGTCTGATCGTGGCCTCACCGCTATCCATATGTCCTTCACTCGTCGTATAGCAATGTGAGGTTGAACTTACTCATGCATGGATTTAGATGTTTGTAAAGGTTTCTATCCAAAATTTACTCCTTCTATCTCAATTACTAGATCATTTTGTCTTGTTTTTGTTATACATTAGAAATATGCTACATCCCAAATTTTATTTTAGAAAATAAAAAAGATCCAGCCTTTGCCGTCGCACGCACCCAAGTCAAGTTTTTCGCTCAATTGCTAATCAAGAATAAAGAGAAAAGACAATAATAAATAGAATGAAAAAAAATCATATGCAAATTCTGTAATTGCTTCTCCCTCCGTTCTTTGTGAATATGTCCAGAGCGACAACCTTCAATGCTCTACAACCTATAAACTACATCTAGATAATACCCGTGTGTTGCAACGGGAGAAAAAAATATTAAATATTTATAGGAAACGATGGGAATGGTACATATATGCATTTATGTTTTATTTTTTTATAAAATTGAAAAGGTTTCTCAGAGAAACGATGGGAATGGTCCATAATATAAGTTAATATTAACAATAATATCATAATGTCCTTCCTCATTTAGGTTTTCTAAACATTGATTAACTGGAATATCAGCTCATTTAGGTTTGAATAAAATAAATTTTATTTCTTATCAAAACTACATCAATAATTAATTTGATGGTGAAAATCTTTGTTTCTCAGAGAATGATGAAAGATCGTTCGATAATGATTCAAAGACCCAATATTATAATTATTTGTTTTAGATGGAAAAACATAAACCCACAAGAGACGAGGACCGGCACACCAAACAAATCGGAAGAAGGCACCACGGAAACCAAAAGCGGAGGTAACGGAGCTGCATCTAATAACACAGAAAAAAGAAAACTAAGAAAAAAAGGAAAGAAAATGATAATGATAGGGTTGAGGCGTCCGGCGGATGGACGCTTTGCTTAATGGGCCTGCGGACCGGCTCAGGCAATTGGCCCTCTGGCCTTGCAAGTACTCCTATAACACGTCCCCACTTCCCGTTCGATCGCAGCTTTCCCCACTTTCGTTTGGTCGCAGCCACTACTTCAACGGAGCCGTTCGTCCGCAGCGGCTGCATCCACCGAGCAATCCGCCTGCGGTGTCCGCTCGCACCCACTTTGCCTCGCCGCAACAGCCATCCTCCGCTGCATCCCCTCCCACGCCGTGCTGCGCCCAATCTCGCGCGCGCCACCATCCCGCGTCGTGCCTCGATCATCTCACTGCAAATCATGGCGGCTATGGCGTTCATCATGCCACCACCACCCCCGCGCCACCAAGAGGAGGTCGTCGCCAGTGCGCCTGTGCTTGGGTGTACACTGGGTTGTTGTTCTCGACGTCCCCCTTACTCGAGCTTTCGGGCTACTATAGTTCCTCACCAGTTAGGTCGTGGCTGCCGGCGACGTCATGTTTTAAGTGTTTCAGACGTTTCAAACAGATGTTCAAGTGTTTCATCTGTATGTTGCAAAAATAGATTTGAGACGGTGCATATATTGCAATGACAATATACGTATGTTGTAAGCATATATTTTAAGTGTTTCATATGTTTTAGACGTATGTTTCAAGTGTCTTATCTGAATGTTGCATAAGTAGATCTGAATGTTGCATAATAGGCGTGTTGCAAGTGTTTGTTTCAGGTGTTTTATATGTATGTTGCAATTGTGTTAATCTAGATGTTGCATATGTTTTGTAATTTCTACACACGTGTTTTTGCAAAGTGTTTCAGACGTATGTTGCAAGTGTTTTTATTTGGATGTTTCAAAAGCAGATCGAGATGCTCGTCCGCTCGTCCTCACGCGACTTGCTCGCCCTAAGCGCCGCCGCCGCCGCTCCCACCTTCCACCACCATTGGTCCCCCTCACATCCCCTTCGGCATCTTGCCGGAGGCCGGAGGGAGTGAGGATCCATCGTTTTTAATAAGTTTTCTACTAAATCGAGTATTTAGTGTTAGGGTCTCTCCATGCCAAGATTCTTGGTATTGCAAATTTATCTCCTCTCCGGCGACGGCGAAGGGGAAAGGTGGAATCGTTTTCTCCATGGCGGCTATGTTGAAGATGAGGACGACAACTATGGCGTCGGCAACTTCATCGGCATGACATGGAGACCTTTCTTTCCGAACGACGACATCAAGACGGAGATGATGTCGCCGCAATGAAATAATTTTCTCTGATATCTTCTTCGTTTTGTTGTGGTTAGATCTGGCCACGATGAAGGACTAGGGAGAATAATTTTCAGATCGGTCTTCCGCATTCTTCAGTGGTTAGTTGGGCATATGTTCTCAGGCCTTTTGGCGAGTGTTTATCTATGCGGTCATCCATACGAAGCGTCATACAGGTTTGGTTTTGAGATTTAGAGTTATTCACAGCATGAGTACAATTTAGATAAAAATCAATTTCTGGATATATGTAGTATATTTCAGAGTGCTTTTGTAACGTGTTGATGTACCCAGTTATTATATAATATAATTCTTCTTTCGTCTCAAAAAAAAAAAAGATGCTGCACATGTTGCAACGTGCCTCACCTTCCGCAACCTCCTACTGTAGTTGCTGGCCACGTCGTGCATGCGCGCGGGGAGCGGAGGGATGGAGCGCTGCTCGGCGGTGGGTGGGGGAAGCGGAAGGAGATGGCGGCAGGGGCGCAGGCGGTCCTCGCGTGCGCGCGGAAGGAGGGGAGCGACGCAACAGGGAAACGCTTGGAGCGACGGGCAGGGAAGGGGCGCGGGAAGCAGGAAGGAAAAGGAAAATCGGACGCAAACTGCTGAAGCCGACACGGAAAGCTGAAAACCGGAGGAAACGACACTGCATCGGACATGCAACAAAAAGTGGACAGTGCGGAGGCAAGGGGTGATGATGTACGTAAACATAAACATAAACACGCACCACGTAAATCGGGCTGAGCGTGTGCGTGAACATAGACGGCAGCACGAGCAGACGTAGAGCAGCGCCCGCCGCAGAAAGCGAGCACGCAACAGACGACGACGCTCCAGCGCCAAACGGCAGCAGGTCCGGCCATCACCTTCCGCGCTCCGCGCTCGCCCCGGTCCATGGCGTCCACGCCCTCCGCCCCCGCCTCCGCCGTCAAGGCCGCCGCGGTCCTTCCCGTCCCGCCGCCGCCGTCCGCCGTGGCACTGGTGTCAGTAGTGGCGCGGCGCGGCGCACCGGTACCGGCGGCCCTGCGCGCCCTGCAGGGCGGGAAGAACGCGCGGCGCGGCGCGGAGCTGGTGGCGTCCGCCGCGCTCGATGACCTGCGCTCGGCCATCGACGCCGACCTCCGTGCCTACATCGAGTCCCAGATCGTCACCTCTGACCAGGTACGTACGTCCCCTCCATCCACACCCGCTGACGATTCCTCGACCCTGCCCCTCTCGGATTAATTCAGTATGATTGCGTGGTTGCTCGTTCGTTCGGTTGGCAGATGAGCCCGGCGGCGAAGCTCACCGACGTCATGTCGCGCCCCGTGCAGGTGGTCACGCCGGAGCAGCGCCTCGCGGAGGTCGATGCATTCTTCGCCGCGCAGCAGTACTCTGGCCTGCCCGTGGTCGACGAGGACGGCAGGTGCATTGGGGTGATCTCCAGGAAGGACAAGGCCAAGGCGCCCAATGGGGTCAGTTCACTCACTGCTCGCTACTTGTTGCTTGTCACTTTTTTATGCCTGTTAATTGCTTAACTGGGAGGTTCTTACCGATAGAGCACGTTATCAAATCATGAAAAATGGGGATGGACAACAATACCATTCACTAAATGGAAACTGCATGATCTGCATTTGGCATACTGTGGATCAGTGTTGCAAATGGAAATGGAAATGTTTTACATCACCCTTTCACAGTGTGTTCTTTAAGCATGATCTCTAGGATCATTTTCAATATTACTATCAAGTGCAGGAGCTTCATCAAGTGTCTGATTACCGGAAGGCATTTGCGATTCTTTTATAATAAATCTATCCATTGCTCCTTTCTGAGACTGAGCTAACTCCTCAATTCTTTGTTTCTTCTTACGCTTTTGGGAACCAGATTTATATTTTCTAAATCGATTTTGCAGAAGACATGGCTTCAAAAGATGAAAACAACAAAATTAAAATTACACAAACAGTTCTGGTCTCACACGAATACATGGGCCTGCTCGTCTGCTCCACACATGCGCGAGCATGACGACGTACGCCTGCTCGTCTGCGGCGGTTCCCAGCGGCGTGTAACACTGCCGCGACGGCGCGAACACACAGCTCAGCCTTCCGGCTCGCGACGGCGTGATCCGCAGAGAATAGAGGACTGGAGGTGCTGCCGTGCTCGATTTGCCGGCTGCCAGCGCTGGAGGACAATCGTTTGGGAATGCTCGCCGCCGTCTCCTTCAACGAGCTAGCTAGGAAATGAAACGAATGGGCACCGAATAAAGGGGATCAGAGATATATTACTTTGGATGGATGACCAGGCCCAAGAGAAACATAATTATAAGTACAAAAAAATAATTGGTTAGATAGGATGCTTTGAGATCCGTGTAAATTTTTAGAAAAGGGAGCATTTGGAGCAATTCCCTTCTGATATCTTTGGTTTCCTTGCCATAGACTAATTTTTCATGCTTGTCGTCTGTCATGATGAAGATGGAGTCAACTGTAGGTGAAGTCATGTCATCTCCTGCGATAACGCTGACACTGTATAGGACTGTCTTGGGTAATAAGCTTTACTCCCCTCTAGCTACCCTATAACCAACATGGACACTTGAAGTCGTTACAACAATTTGCTAACGTGTTGCTGGTCACGTGAGCAGAGGCTGCAGCGCTAATGCTTACGGAGAAGGTTCACAGGATACCTGTTGTGAATGAGCAGCAGCACGTGATCGGTAAGGTTTCCCAGATTGCTTACTTTTTTTTTTTGGACTACATCAATAAAGTCTATATGTCTAAATAGAGCAACAAAACTTTTCAGCAGCGCGGTTTTACTTGCTCTGTTGTAACAGGAATTGTGACTCGCTCGGACGTATTCCAGACTCTTGAGCCCAACAACAAAGCATGAGAGTGTGCTCCCCTGTTAGGCTTGTTCTCGCCAGATGTTGCTCGCTGTAAATATCAGTCCAATCAGACTGTTGCCCGACCATGTATATATTCTAGTTCTAGCTGATGCTGTATACTAGTCTGGACGTGTTGAACTGTTGAGCTTGTGTAACATGTGGACTGTGACATGTTTCTGAACTGAGTTGATGTCTTGATTGCGTGCTGGATCTGTATCATGGAATATTGTTGAACTAAAAGTTGCTTACGGTCACTCTACGGTTTCCATGTTACTAAAGACATTTGGGCCGTTCATCGACCCATACACCAGTCTCCAAATCATTCATTTCTTTTTGAAGAAAAGAAAACAGATCTACACAACATTTGATGAAGTTCGTGAAACTTGTGACTATTGTACAGAGTAATCAATGGCCCAACATCTGTATCAATTATCCAAACTACCCCTGTCCACATTCCACACTCTGGCACTTTTCACTAGTTTTGTGCAACAGTAGATTCAACAGGTCATAATGCCACGTGAAGGCATACGGCAACAATGGAGCTGCATAATGGTGTTTTCCACAACTTCGTCTGGGCAACTCTGGCATGCCTGAGAATTAATCTGTGAAGAAAACAACGAAACAGCATTATTAGTTCATTTCATTCTCATTATCACAAAACTGAAATCCAAAACTTCAAATTCCCCTTTGTGTAGTGATTTATCAGAGTATGTTCAATTAAGATACTACCTCCTTCACAAAATAAATCAATTCCTAGAATCACCTAAAGTCAGACTATCTTCAATTTGACGTCCTAAAATAAATTAATTCTTAAAGTCAAACTATCTTAAGCAACAAATATTTCATGAGGTATCTAGTAATATTAATTGGTGTCATAATACTGATCTTTTTTTGATAAATTTGGTCAAACTTAAAATAGTTTGACTTAAGACAAATGTAGAAGTTGATTTATTTTGGGACGGAGGTAGTTTACATCAAATATGGACCATAAATAAGCATTCAGGATATTAAAGAAGGGGATCATTGGAATGGGAGATAATTGTGGAACTATAAAGTGTTCAAGTGCAAACTTGGTACTACCTCCCTCGTGGAGTGTCATTTTTGTTTTGTCCTCAGTCAAACAATCCTACATTTATTAAGTTTATACAAAAAATACAAATGTTTATAATATCAAATAAATATTATTAAGTTTATCATGAAATACATTTCATAGTAAATCTATTTGGTGTCAAAAATGTTGACAATCTTTTCTATAAACTTGATCAACATAAGATCTTTTGACTTAGGACAAAACCAAAATGTCACACTCATCAATAAATCAAGACAACTCCCTCTTTTTGGAAGGTGTGCACGCATATCATGCCCCGACCTTCATAATCTTTGATTAACGCCGAAAGTTTTGTAGATTATAGGATACAAGATTAGCACCTTAGATCAAATATGGTATGATGCTTTTTTTCTTTGGTCATGGCTATATAACATGAGAGATATTAATGGACAAAAGTATAATCTTGGAGACAGTATCCAGTTAAACCACACCTTACATTTTGTAAAAGAGGGAGTACATGGCTTTGATAGTGCTAAGTTAAATAAAAAAGTTGAACGGCTTGCAGCGATGGTCTCTACTCCTAAGGTTAGAAATGATCTGAGCTTAACTAGCGTGCCCATCTATCACATGTCAATCCAGCTTCCTAAAATTGTGCTAAGAAAAATGGAACAAATGAGAAGAGACTTCTGTCAGCAGATTGGGTGTATTATGAAATAAAAATCATGTGAACTGTCACAGACCTAAGCAAAAGAGCTTCTAGGAACACTAGACTTTATCAAACTGAACGAGTCTTTTGTGAATGATGCTAGGAGCTTCGAGCTAAGAAAGGCTTCTGTAAAGATATTGCGTGGAAACATCACTTAGAAAGTGATTGCATAGACCAGGAAAACTGCAAAGTGACTCAGCAGTATTGGATGACTTGCTAAAAGTTAAAACATATCTGTAGATGTTAGGTATGACAACAAAGTTGGGGACTGAGAGGGGTATTGATTTCTGCCATGATTGCCTTTTTTTTGTAAAAAAAAATCATATGTAAAAGCTTCTGTGACTATCCGCAATGAGCAGAACTTAACTTTCAAAAGGATGCTTTGAAGTAACAAGCAGACTAAACTTCCAAAACAGATTAGTAGTACTTACACAGATAAATACTCTATGTTTCAAGTTTAAGTATTAAAAAACAACTAGTAATCAACAGTATATACATTTCGGATTCTCCAACTCTTAGATTTTGCCAAATTGGACACTTTATCAGCCCAAGAGTACAACCATAAATGGGCCAAGTCAAATTTCTTGAGTGAAAACACACAGGGAACATAAAGAAGCAGCATTTATTCGCTGTAGTTGTTCGCTGTCTTGGTTAAGTTGGACTTTGCCACATTGTCATGTTCCCTTTCTGATCAGGGGCATTGGTAGTTTTAGCATTTTATATTTTGTCTCCACAATCTATACACTTATTGCTTTTTAATTTCATTGCCTTGGTAATGGAATTTGAGTTTCCTGTCGTGGGAAAAAAATTAATTCCAATGCCTTGTGAGTTTTGATTTGGGGAGTGTAAAAAAGAACAAACTAATACCAAATTTCATTTTAATGGAAGGAACTAACATACAAACTCCCAGTTGGAATGTATATAACCTAACAAATATATCATAAGCATCACACAGCCCCTCAATGCAGAAGCATCACAATTCTTCTAGCACATGAACTACAGAATCATAGGGATAGCAGGAAATGGAACAATAACATCTTTTCGAGAAGTACTGTTGAGGAAGGAATAAGAAATCACTAACCTTGTATGGCAAAATATGACCAAATCCATTCATTACAGGATTGATTATCCAAAGGAGCCTCTGCACTTGCGGGACCAACATAAGCAATTTTTAGACTTCCGACAACCAGAATTGGATCCCAGTTGAACATTACCTTGGCTCTGACCATAATCATATGTGAGCTCTGTCATTGGAGGAATATGCTTCATTGCAAAGAATGCAATGTGTGGATGTCCCTCATCACCATGATCATACAAAACTGGTTGCCAAAAAACATTAGGCGAGCAGCTGTGGTTCATAAAGCGAGCTACATTGCCAGTTCGTTTTGCACTAATGATGATCGGCAGTTGCTTGGGTGTCTCATTTGAGTCAGAAAGATTAGGTTCACCCAGTAATTCTGGTGCATAGTTCCACCTTAAACTCGGCTCAGAAGGAGGGGTCTCAAAGATGTAGTCATCTTCTCCATTCACACTATTTTTGTCAATGATTTCACCTGCATATTCACAGATAAATGTTCCAGCTCGAATTGGATCCCAACTACGAAGACCCCAACCACGATCTCCTGTCTTAAACACTTCAAAATGGATCCGGGCACCTTTCTGTACAACTCGGTTCCGGCAACTATTTGAACAAATGCAGGAGTCATTACACTCGTATAACATAGGCATGCGGCTAACAAGTATACCTGAAGCACTGTAAGGAAGCGCACCAGCATTTCGGTGTGTACAAGGGCAGTTGTCATCACCAGGGAGGCATACACTTGCACATTTGCATCCTTGCATCTTTCTCATCGAGCTCTGCAAGTTCCCATAGTTCAATTTGGTCATATAGGTGAACTGGCTAGGAACCTTATCATCGTCAACCTCATTTACAAGGCAAACAGGCTTATTTTCCACACCATATGACATGTCGCCTATGATAACATGGTCTCTAGATGATGGATCTTCCCTCCATTTTTCAGTTTTTTTCAACATTGCAATGCCGTCAGCTTGGCCAGGTTCCCTGAGCAACTTGTGTTTAAAAACATTGAAACCAGATTTCGCTTTCTCCACCCAGGCTTCTTTGATCTTGTAAAGGCCATCATATATATATATCTTACCAGTTGGACAAGTCAAATCCCTTACGCTGCGAATGACTCTAATGGGATTGCCTCTATGCAAACTCCTCTCCAGTGCAAGATTACCCCTCTCAAGTTTTTGATCATCTTTACCAGACATGCCCTGTCCAGTGTAAACTAGAACATATGGATCATCTTCGGTATTATCATACACACCAGCTGACACAACACTAATAGCCACAGGATCCTCCTCATTACCAAACTTGGCAGACATGTAATCAATACCTGCCATGTTCTGACTATTCAACCCCACCAGGCACATCTCAATTCTGAAATAGAACATGTCACCAACCTCAACACCAGGAACCTCTCCAATCTGCTTGTTCTTATTGACACGAAGTTCAGCATTAGTCATGATGCTCCCAGCCTTCAAGTTATGCTGCTGCTTTGCAGCTTGCTTCACCTCATCCAGCTGTATAAGCCTCCGCCGCAGTGCATCAAACATCATGAGTACATTATCTGCAGATTCCCTAGGATCATCTGAAGACAAAGTTGGAAGCTGCAACAGATTGGTATCAATTTTCCTAGGCTGTCCACGTTTTGCTGCATCAACAGTGTCATCATCTATTGAGAAACCTGAATGACTTGGGGCTGCCGAACCATCGGGCACACGCCTTGGACGTCCCCTCTTCCTTTTACCATATTCAGGTGAGGTGGTCACAGGTGTCTGGGAAGTGGGCTCACTATCTTTTGAGTGAATTGAAGGTGTTGAAGTATCCAAACTATCCTGTAAACGTTTGGGACGTCCCCTTTTCCTTGTACCGGATTCATGTACAGTGGGTGCAGGAGGCGTCTCAAGAACAGGCATATTATCAGCTTGAGGAGCTAAAGGAGTTGCCAGGACATGAATGTCTTGCACACGCTTGGGCCGTCCCCTCTTCCTCTTGCCAGATTCCTGTGGGGTGGCTGAAGAAGGTGTCAGGGAAACAACATTATTATTTTCTTGAGGAGGTGAAGGAACTTTAGGAAGTGAAGGAATTGGAGAAACCATGGGAGCCAGAGGAGTTGAAGTAGCTGAAGGAACCATATTATCTGACACACGCTTGGGTCTGCCCCTCTTCCTTTTACTGGATTCCGGTGTCCCAGCTGATAGAGGAGTTTGTAAGGAAGGAGTGGCCAAACTGTTGGTTGCAGTACCATTAGTATGAGCAGCTGGTGCTGCAAACATTGATGGAACACCAGCAGCCATGCCTAATCCAGTGCCTCCAGCATACGGTCCAAATGGGGTCACACAGACAACTGAAGGTGAGTTTTGAGGGGTGAATGTGTGAAGCCCTAGTGGTGCAGGGAACATGGGGGTCAACATACGCAAGGGTTTGGCATCAACAACTGCTGAATCATTCAACGGTGAATCTGTCTGCTGAGCCATTGTGAACCAACAATTGATCTTTGGCCAAATCAAGTTTTAAGTCGCTATTTCCTTCGTACCCTCCTCAGTTGTTTATAGATCATGCTTCAGAGTAAACTGAAAGAGATGCATAATTTTTTTTAGCATTTTTATATTATTATCCAAATCCAAGAGGAAATATCAAAATCAGGAAATACTGAACCTTGGCTGTCTATTCTATTCCAGGTTATAATAAGCACAAGCGAGTTAAGGATGCAATTTACCAAATAAATGATATATTGAGTTAACAATGCAATTCAAGAGATTTTAAATCACATAAACGAATGAGGTATACAAATTTCACGAGATACACTAGCAAGAATAACCAGGAGTTGCGCACGTCTAGGATTTGAAGAAGCAAATAGGGGCAGAAAAGAGTAAAAGTGTTGCTGCAGGCACCTTGTAACTAATTAACTAGTCCATCCAGTTATCAAATTAAAAGTTTCTTATGTACATGGACTGTCAAACTATGTCAGCTCAGATAATTGGTCTATTTGAGAGTATTGGCTTTACACAAGAAACTGGCACTTGTATAATTTCATCCATGCTGTTATTTATATTTGTTTCCTAATTCATTACAATAAAAACGCAGTTTGTGAGGTGAGACAACTCTACATTAATATTATACTAGTAAAAGTTTTGACTAGGACCCACGTTGCAATTTAAAGTTCTCATTTTGTATAATCATGGAACAAAGATAAGAGTAACTTCCCATTTTAATAGCAGCATGTTGGAAAAGAATAAAATTATTGTAATAGGTAGCACTACAAAAAAAAAGACCAAAGATTGTTTAAAGACAACAAAGTTAAAAAGGTGACTAGAAATAACTGGATGAGAGCAGTTAGTTCTTTGTAAAATTTGCCAAAAGGGGCGTTTAGGTAGCTAACTTTGTTACCTCCATATTTATCATGCAATGAATCCCATGAGCATCTGGGGCATTGTTTTACATGCCGTCGTGCCTAAGGAGGAACATTATATCTCCACTACCAGTGGTGGAGATTTGCACCGGACGAAGGGGCCTGGGTGGCTCTAACGCTAAAGTGTTCATGTTCCTAAAAAATTCTAAGGAAAATCAGAGAGTACAACCATCATCTACCTCTATGACTATGAGGGAGGGACGAACTGCGTTGGGCATGGTTGTACGGTTAAATAGGCATTTTTTTTCTTGCCAAAAAAAAAAGATTTGATTGCCCATACAAGCAGGTACTAGGTAAATAGATCCATCTACGTCCCAGCACAAGTAAGTCTTAGAAAAAAAAATACACCTAGCTAAGGTTTCTTACCAGCGGAAGAATCGACTGTAGGCTGGGATGGATCAGGAATCCAATCGACGGGCCGACGGGGTAGTGCCAACTTGAACTGGCTCTGGCTGCCTTCCCTTCTTCTCCTGCGGTGGAATCACCAGCGGCTGGCCTGGCTGCAGCAGTTCTTCAGTGGAAAGATGGGGAAGGGAAAGGGGAAATGGAAGCAGCAGCAGCAGCTGCAGCTGCAGCTAGCGGGTAAGAGGAGCGAGGCGAGCTGAAGCCTGGAGCCTGGAGCGGAATCGGCTCCGACAACGCAGCAGCGTCGATCGGCCATCCAACGGTAGCTACACGCAGCTTACACGGAAGAGGAGCGTTAAAACGGATATTCCACCAACCATTTACCAGAGTCCGTCAGAACATCACTCGCAATGAGCGAGGGTTCCATGCGCCGCCGCCGCCCCTCCTCGCCGGCGCTGGCAGCGCCCTTGCCGGACAACGACGACCTCCTCCGCGAGATCCTCCTTCGCCTCCCGCCGCGCCGTCCTCCCTCCCCCGCGCCTCCCTCGTCAGCAAGCGCTGGCGCCGCCTTCTCTCCGACCCCCAATTCCTCCGCCGCTTCCGCGCATTTCACCACCGGCAAGCCCCGCTTCTCGGCTTCTACCTCTGCGACGCGGGCAGCCCCTGCTTCACCCCCCCACGCTGGACCCGCCCGATCGCATCCCCTCCCGCGCGCCTATCCCTGGCACTGTCCCACAACGAGAATTGAGATTCCTCGGCTGCCGCCACGGCCTCGTCCTCATCCTCAACTCGACGCGCCTGGAGATTACCGTGTGGGACCCCGTCACCGGAGACAAGCGGTGCGTGGCGCTTCCGCGGGGTTTCAACAGAGAACACCCACGTTTTGCTTTCCTCTGCGGCGCGCTGCTCTGCGACGACCACGCCGGCCGGGCGCCACTGGAATCCTTCAAGGTGGTGCTCTTACGGACTGATGATGTGCTACCTAATGCTGACCCTCATGCATTTGCCTTCCTCTACGAGTCCAAGGCCGATGTGTGGAGCAACATCATCTCAACATCCATCAGGGCTCCGCTTTCATTCGCCAAGCCTAGCATCCTAGTCGGGAATTCACTCTACTGGTTGCTTCTTGGTTATGGGAATGGTGGGATCCTTAAGTTTGATTTGGATAGGAAGAATCTAACTGCAATCGATACCCCGACGGATGCACGAGATGCCCTTCGTTCTCAGATCTTGCGGATGGAAGATAGTAGGCTCGGCTTTGCCATTTTGACAGATTTTAGCATTCAGTTATGGGAGAAGAAGCCCAATTCTGAGGGTGGTGCCAAATGGATGCTTCAGAAAACCATCAATCTGGACAAGCTCATTTCACTGGGACCAGCGTTCGATAGATCCTGGACACTGATACAGGGGTATGATGAGGATGGTAATACTATTTTTGTAAAAGCAGATCGGCAAGTCTTCATGATCCAACTCAAGTCACTGGAATTAAAGATTATTTTTGAAGATGATATCATCCTCTATCATCCCTTCACAAGTTTCTATACTACAGGTACCAATTATGTTTCTCCTGTATCTCATTGTTGCGAAATCTTCCATGCACTTAAACTTGATAGCAAGAACCATTGTCCAATGATAATATCTTTCTTTGTCACATACAACCAATTTTTTTTTACTGTCACTGAACTGTGTGAAAGATAGCAGTATAGCACAGAAATTCATCATCAACTGTCTATTGCTGTACACGTAAATTATGCAATTTACTGTTTGCTGTACACGTAAAACATGAACCATCTGATATCTGAAATATACATTACATATGGAACAACAAAGGTTGATGTAGTCATTCATGTGATACTTATATCTTGGTTATCTCTCCATTAATTATCTATACATGTAAGAGTCACAGGTCATGTTGGTTATCCATCTAGAAGGTCTGATGGGTACATACGAAGAAGATGAGGAGATTAGTTTGTCCATTGCCTCCGTTTTTATGTATATTTCTTTGTTTGATGAAGAACTTTTCTAAACATAGTAGTGTGGGTTATGTGTCTGCGCTATCTGGTACAGTACATCCTCTATGGCCAGTCGCATTAATCTATCCTGCCATATGAAATATACAAATATATTCTTTTGGGCATTTGCTTCACACGAATAGTTCTAACTTCTAAATTGTACCTTGTTTACCATTTACAAGGCCAAATATCAGTTAGATCTAAGGAGTTATGCTTATTTCTTAAAAAAAATCCATATCCAGTACAGAATAATTTCTCAGTCTGTATCCTGCTGTGCATTTTGGTTTCCTTATTGCTTGGACTTATTTCTTTTGTAGGCAGGGGCATTGGCAGTGGAGACATTGGAGCTGAGATTTTGAACAACACATGAGATGCCTGTCTTCATCTACCAACCTGTTGTGGTGGTTGAACAGGTAATACAAATTTATTTGCTGCTATTCTTGTAATAAATACCATTTGCATGCAACTTCTGATTGATAAATTTAAGCAAACTATACCATCAGTGATTTATTAAACAGTGTTGTTTCAAGTGGGACACAGAACTCCTAGAGTGTTCATTTGAGTTACCAAACTTATTAAACAGTGTATCTACTGTCATTAGAAGGCTAAATAGCGACGTGGGACTCCAATGCAGCTTGTATGGATGGATTGTACTAAGCACCCTACAGGAGACAGTCCCTGTTTGTTTCCACTTTGGACTGAAAATTGTTGAGATTTCAGTTACAATTGCAAACAAAGGGGTATATTGTACAATCAGATTATAACAATCTAGCCAACAATCCACCAGTCTCCTTCCCCCATCTTGCACAGATTGTGATTTCTAAATAAACCAAAGTGGGCACCTAAGTTGAAGGTATTTACTCAGTATTGCCACTGACATGGTTCAAAAAGGCGCTAGGCGCTAAGACACTGATTAGCGCCTAGGATGCCTAAACGTAGATTAAACGTGATTAAGCATTTAAAGACTAGTTACATATCTTTTGATTTAACTGCATAAATGTGTGAGAATAAATAGAAAAGGAAGAGCAATGCCATAACAGCCCACTCAGACCACTAAGGGTGGAAGCCCACTAGCCCATCTAATCTGAACACCATAAAACCCAACGATGACCTACCACCACCGATTCCCAGCAGCCAATCCTCATTCTCATGCAGCCATGCCGCCTCTCCTCCGCCTGCGCACCCCATCCGTCGTTCACCCTCTCCATGGTGCACCATCTCTGCTCTTCCTGTGCTCAGTCCGTCCACTCCTCCATGCGCCGCACACCCAGTCCTCTCCTCCTCCATGGCACCCCTGCTTTGGCTGCGCGCATGACCCTATGGAGAACTCGAGCAGAGGGTGAGTGAAATGGAGCAACTTGGACCCCACTAGGTAGGGATAGATGGAATCGTAATCCAACAAACTATTTTGCCATCCGATTCTCGTTTGTTCTCTTCCCTTCTTCACCATCCATGGGTTCTGACAGTTCATACTGTGTTTCCAGTTAATTTTTTAGAACTTTTGTACTGAACTGGAAACGTTTCCAGTCCATACAGAAGTCCTAAAAATTGAAGCAACTCTTGAAACACACATTTGAAATGGTGTCACCCCAGTAGCTTGATTTGTTAACATACAATCATAGGCACATTAGTTAAGCATGGATCGATCAACCCATTTTGATTCCCTAGGGATAGTGGCCCTCCCTATAAGCCATCAACCATTTCATCAGCTTCTCACCTAATTTACCCCTGTAATAACATGAAGTCCAAAACCATTAGTGATACCCTGAGATACCTAAGTGGCCATCCACCAAGTTTGCAATAAAACATTTCAGCACATGTATTGACATTCTTATATCCCATTCCTATCATCTACTTCTTTAGTATTCTGAATGTTTCTTGTTAGTCCATACACGATAAATAGCTTCATTGAGCAGATGTAGTTTTGTACTTTAGTTGAACATCATGTTTTTTTTTTCTCGAACACGCATGAGAGCTGTGTAGCTTTATATTAAGAAGATAAAGGGGTGGTAAAGAGCCCCTACACAAAACAGACACACAAACTCTCTCTCTCTCTCTCTAGAAACAAAGTAGGGGCAGACGGACCAAAAAACTAGGAAGGGCGACCACCAGAACACAAAAATAGGATCTAGTCACTACCAAGCAGCAGGGCAGTCAGCAAAAATGACGCCCTTAGCTCCAGCTAGACTCTAAAGCCTCACCTCTTCAATGGCCGAGGCCATGACATTTAGCACATCAGGTGAAGCTCCATTGAAGGCACCGATTACAGTGATTCCATATCAACCACTAGTTGAACATCATCCTTCTACATTATTTTTGAACTACCATATTCCCATGGAGTAACCAGCATTTCTTTTCCCTGCCTTTTGGTTTTTTGTGCATGTTTCTCTTTGCACCATGAAGTAATTTTCCTTTGCTGTGCTCAATTTGTGGATAGTGTTCTGTGATTTGTGAACCATCCGCTTTATTACTTTCTTTTAATATTAACTGCACATGGACACATTGAAGTCTGTTTCGGAGCTTAAGCACATGCTCTATATTCTAATTATTTTAGTTGTTCCTTTTTTTTTCTGTCCATCATGGTACCTTGAAACCGTTTATCCAGCTGGCACAAAACTAGGAGTGGTGATTCGAACAAAACTAAGAATAGCCAGCTTACACATTCCGACAAGCCATGCCTTTGATGTTTACTGTTGAATGGCAGAAAATTGATAGATATTATCCTTTGCGCTGTTGGGTACTGAAAGCCAAGTGAATTGATGATGCTGTTTACTTTGCAGATTCCCAGACACCTCGAAGTTGCCCAGCGCAAGATGAACAAATCACCATGATGCAGTTTTCACTTCGGTTTGTTTTTCTTTTGGATGCTGTCACATGCCTTCTATGTGTAATATGGTATTATAGCACTCAACTTTGGAGTGGAGTTGTCAAATTTATCTGATGTCTGATGTTACTGCTGCTTAGATCCTGAAGTGTTTGACTCTTTCTTTTGGATAACACTTATCCGTTCGTCATGCTGCAAGGTGGTTTCAGTGATTTTGCTTGGCACAGATTGGCCATTTGATTTGGACCTTGATGCATATTCCCATATGTTTTAGAGTTCAAGGGGATCAACAAATTTAACATATCACATTCATAGCATTGCACTTGTTTGGAATTTATGATAGGTTCACATTTCACACTATGGCCACAGGTATCCAGGTTCCCACTGAGCAGCAGACGTGCGCACAAAAAAAATGGTACTGTCTCTGCCCATTTTGAACGTACCATCCACTGTATTTCAAAGCATTTTGGTTACGTAAGATCATCTCCACGAGACTTTCGAAATCTCACTTTCTAAATTATCATTTGGAGAATCATTTGTATAAAAATCGTTTTCTATATCTTTTCACTCTTCAACAATTTTTCTCTATCTCGTGCGCACTCTAGAGAGTCATTCTCATTTTCTATTTTTGGCTAGCGAAAAATTTGGAATAGAAGATGGCTATATTTGGATAACCATTTAGAGAAACTGGTGGAGGATAGTTTTTCATTAAAATCTCTATTTCTAGCATTTAGAAAGAATATAGAGTCTCTAGGAGCTGTTGTGCTCGCTATATTTCAAAGTATTGTTTTGGTTACCTATTTGCTATAGCTATAATGACACTTTTACTTCTAAATAATGATCTTGTGTTGTTGCAAGCTTGTGGTTTAAAATTTTACATGGATCACTGCTCATCTGGTGCTCAAACAGATGTTTCGTCTTTCAGGCGCATTGTTCCCTTTTTTTTCTGTCGTATTGTGATACTACCAAACTGCCACAAACCAGAAGTTGTTTCTTGATGCCTGAAGCCCTTGTTTCCAATAGGTGGGCTTGGGAATCCAGCTCAGTCTCTATGTTTATGCGAGGGTAAAAAATTCTTCTGAAGCAACTGGGCAACTCTGAAATCTGAAACTTGTTGGCTGGTATGTTTGAGCAGTTGAGCAGTTTTACTGATGCAGTGAGGTTCGCATCCATTTGCTCATGCTTTAATTCGGCACAATCTGTTGGACGCTTTCGTGGTTTTAATTTCTAGGAAGGATCTCCGCACGACAAGTGATGCTTTCCTTGGCACACCCAATGGGGGCACGCAAGGCTGTCCTCAAGCAGCTTGGCCGGCTGGCCGCCTCTGTTCATGCTCGTGGCCTGCTGCCGCCGCCGCCGGCAGTCCGACGGAAGAACAAGGAGATGCGACGCTGACCAACCCCATCATGCCACGGGCCACGGGCACCTAATAAGTTGGAGTGCCGTGGGATGGAAAGAAACAGTGGACTGACGAGCTGAAGCCACTATGAGCTAAGGTCTCCACCATCCTAAACCTGGACCTGCTAGCATCATCCATGACATTGCAGCCGTTTTGCTAACAGACAGGGGCCACAAACCATTTTCCTCCAAAACTATTGCTAAGACCCGACCCATAACCACCCCAGAGATCTTTGAACCCAAGTTTTTTGGGAGGCAGAAAGAGACGACCAAAATCATATATGATATCACAAAATGTGACTATAGTGGCAGTGACTTGACTGTTCTTCCAATTGTTGGTCTAGGGGGTACGAGAAAGACGACACTCGCACAACATATATTTACAACCAAGTAGAAAAACACTTAGGTGAAGATTCGGATCTGTGTGCCTGACAATTTTGGTGTGGATTAGACCGGCAAAAGAAATTGCCGACAAGTTAATTGAGCAGCCAAGACAGAGCTTGTAACCCCGGAGATGTTAATTGAACAAGGATTAAAATCCAAAACGACATTTGCTGCGCGCTGCTGCTCGTGCCATTCTTCGTCTGTTGCTTCCTGCCCTGACACCCTCTGTTGGGGACTCAATGTCCTCCACTTCTTCACCCGTGGCTCTTGCTTGCAGCCGTTGGACCTGTGGGCGTTGCGGCATCACAGCGCTAGAAGAAAAATGATTTTAGGAGACAGACTATCTGAATAACGAAGACGGAATATCTGGCGACTACCTACGTAATTATCAGGAGGCCTCCACAAAAATGCCTGCTTTTGAAAATCATCTATGGAGACAGCCATCATAAGACGAATGCCTCTAAAAATCATCTTCGTAAACCAATTTTTCATCTTAAATGCCTGTCTTTATAAATAGTTGTATCAAAAACCATTCATAACTTTTTCATATGACCTCGATGAGGACCAACTTTATATCCAAACTGTGGCCCTTGGTGTGATCAACAACTTTATAGCTGAAGACAGTAGCAACGGAGTTTTCGCCGAACATGGATGGCCATTTTTGAACAGGCTTACTGCATAGATTAGTGTTACTTCTTGCGAGCTTTTTAAGAGCTTGTTTATACGTGCGAGACTTGTTTTGTATTATATTAAACTTTGACTAAGTGCAGAGATCAAAATAAAACTTCTTTTTTTTTCTAAACAAACTACTCCCACTGTACCAAGTTATAAGTCATTCCAATCATCCCAAATTATAATAAAATAATAACATTTATGATACCAACTAACCATCATTAGATTCTTCATTGATTATATTTTTATAGTATACCTATTTGATATTATAAATCTTTGTAATTCTCTATATAATTTTAGTCAAATTTGATATGTTTTGCTCTTCAAGAAAATTGGAATGACTTATAATTTAAAATGGAGGGAGTACTTTCTTCCACAAAACAAATCATCAGCTATAACTGTAGGGTCGAGATGGCGACTAGAGGGGGTGCATAGTCGTTACTAAATTTAATCGCGTCGGCTAATCGAAACAAATGCGGAATTAAAACAATCGTTCTAGCCAATACTATACCCCTCTATCTATGTACTCTAGCACCTTGCAAAGATTCTAATTAAGCAACTAAGGTGCCAAGCTAGCTAGAGCTCACCTATCCAATTCTAGGAGCAAGGTCACACAAACATATGCCACTAGTAGTTTACACACCGGAGAGTTCTTACACAATTCTAGTAAGCAAAAGCACAAAGCTCCTAAGCTCACTAGCAATGCTCAATAACAAGGCAACTAATATCAAATTAGAGAGCGCAAATTACTTAGCTATACAAACTAAGCAATGTGACTAACAAGGTTACTCAAACCGAATTAGTCACGCAACAAAGTTACTTCTATGCTACACAAGCAAGAAGGTAACTAGTGAGCTACACAAGCTAAGCAATGTGACTAACAAGGTTACACAAACTAAATTAGCCACGCAAGAGAGCTACTTCTATGCTACACAAGCAAGAAGGTAACTAGTGAGATACACAAGCTAACTAATCATAAGAGCAACTACACAAGCACAATGTAAATGAA